TAACTAGACACTGGGTTAGGATGCCTTATCAACATAGTGCAGGGTTAAGAATACAAAGTTCTGGAGTTGGAATTTCTGTTCTGCCACTTAGCTTTCTGTCATTCGTTGTCTAGTTACTCAACTGCTCTCTACCTCAACTTGCTTATATGTTAAAATGGCAATTTAAAAAGTATCTATCTCATATGGTTGTTTTGAGAATTCAACATATATGTGGTAAATATGTAACAGTTCAACACCATATGTAACACATATATCTCATACACACACACACTAAAGCACTAAGAACCATGCCTGGCACATGGTAAGCACCCTGTATATTATAGTTATTGTTAAAAAGATTGTCATCTGAATAATGCCTGCTACACAGTAGGCTCCCAATAAAGTTTTGCTGAATAAACAAATGAGAAAACCTTTTGGTTTTATGATTGCTTGTCTCCAGTTTTACCCATTTCACTGTACTTTCAAGGTAAGAACTCTAGCAGAGGGCAGCTCTGAACTGAAGCTTGGATGGAGAGTCACAGGGAGTGATCTTGAGGTTAGGGTGGTTCAGGTTTAAGTCAGGAGGGCTGAGTGAACACTGTGGGAGTTTTAATGTTGAAAGGGCTGGTGTCAAGAGAGAAGGGGCGTTTTTAGGTGAGGAAGGCTGACCCTAGTGCCATGATGAGGGTGTCCACATATAGGGCAACCCTACCCAGGTTATTTACCTAGATCTCTGACTGCCCCTCCACCCTCAGGTTCTGTCCAAAATAAGAATCTGTCTACTGGCTTAGGCCTGGGTATGTTAGAGACCCAGAACTTCAAGGCAGAAGCAAGAATTTACTTCTAGATAAACAGTGTCCCTTGTTTTTCTTCCAAAAGTTATTAAAGCTCACAGTCACATGTAATGAAGAGTCACTTAGAGTTGTTAAAATCCAACAGGAGTGCAGTCAGGTTTCGACATGCGATAGAAATGCAAGAGCGACCATGCTTTTTTCTAGTGGCTGTTTGACTTCCGCCAATTTTCTGTGCTTTAATTTCCTCCTCCAACATTCAGTGGTTTGATAACTAAAATACAAAGGAAGTTTGTTCAATGAACACAATCATAAGAATTATAATAGATCAACTCAGCAGGGGCTAAGAATTTCTTTTGGGAAAGAATAAGAAAGAAATCAAGGAAGAAAGATGAGAATCTAGCCACTGAAGTTTCTAAATTCTGGGTTAAGAAGTTAAGGAAGCCTTTATTCTTAGAACATTAGGAGAATCCAGTGAAAATTTTGGAGCAGGAGAAGGTAAGTTTAAAGAGTTTGTAGGAGGAATTATCTGGAACAAGTAAACTGAGTAGACTGGAGGGAAAAAAAGCTGGAGGAAAAGAGAAGGTTAATGCCAAATCCAGGGCCTAACCACACATCAGAGGGAACAGAAAGGAAGAGACAGATACCAGCCACATTTTGAAGAAACTGAGAGACATGGTTTCTGAGTGTAAATCAAGTGTCAGGAGGAAGGAGGGAAATGACACCATGATGTTCTGAGTCAAAGATGCCTCAGGCTTCACGCCTGCATATTGGATGATGGCTGTAGCCATCACCACAGGTGAGGAGGAAGAACTCTGGGGGAGAGGCTGACCTGATCTGAGATGGATTGAGTTTGGGCTGTTGCCAGGACAGCGAAGGGCCAGGATCAGTGAGAACTTCAGGCCTTCACAGGGGCATGAGGGGACACAGGCATGGGGAGAGTCACACCACTGCCAGGCTCCCTCTAAGGGGAAGAAGCCAGCCTCCTCTGGGGCAGAGTTGGGACTGGGATGGCCCTTCCAGGGCCTGGGTGTGCCCAAGAGTGAGGTCAGAGGTGTGTTTAAGGCTGGGGGAAGTGGTGTATGTCACTCACAGAATGTCACTTAGGACCATAAGGAGATCGAGGGCTGGGGAGAATTCAGCCACCTGGGAAGGTTTATGTTTCAATATAATTTCCTTTATATACAACTAGAGCATCCTACTGTAAAGACCTTTAAAGGTTAAAATGTAACACTGGCAGGTGAAATTTTAAAACAAGATGGATAAATGGAAGCCATTCCTGACACTAATGAAAGACACCAACTCCTTCTTTAGAATAAAGCCTCTCTGTGCCTGATCCTCTCTTGCCTGCAGCATTAGAACACTGTCTTCAATTCAAGGAGCTTCTATTGCATGCTTAGAATGTGGGGGACACAGGGAAAGAGAAAACATAGCCCCTCCCTTTAAGGACCTTACAATCTCATCATAGTAGCCTGGCATACATGTAATATACTATTGACCATTGCAAGACAGCATAGATACTGACTGAAATGATATTGGATGGACAGGCTTCCTGAAGGAGGTAGAGCAAAGTGGACCCTGAATGACTGGTAGGAGCTAAAAAGGGGTCATGGGGGCAGCAGGTGCAAAGGCATGGAGGTGACACTGCCTACAGTATCTTTTAGTGGGGTACTGGCATGTTAGGGAAAATGGGAGGTAATTTCAGTTAGGTAGAGTCGGGCCAGACCAATGAGATATTTATTTAGACAGGATGTTTTGGTTGCAAGTCCTTGAAATCAACTTGAACAGGTGCATAGAGGCCAGATTCTGGAGTCCAGAAGCTTGTGTGAATCCGGATTTACCCATTGCTGACTGTATAACCATGGGCAAGTCATTTAATTTCCATGTCCCTCAGTTTCCTTCTATGTAAAATGAGGTGATACATGGAAATGTTGGCATATTTTAGTTTATCTGTCGACCTAGCAATTTTCATCAAAGAGGTCTAGGATATGGAAACGAAGGTACCAGCATTTGAGAACAGACGCACAAAAATACTTAATGCAGCATCATTTGTAATTGAAAAAACTGGAAACCTCAATACCCATCACAAAAAGGTAGTTGACTAAACTATGCCAGCCGTGTAGTGTGGAATATTACACAGCCAGTGAGTAAATTTGATCTATGTATGTAACCATGAGGGATATCATGATATATTGATAAGTGACAAAGGAAAATTGCAGAGTGATAGGTGTGCTATGATTTCATTTTTGCTACATAAAAAACAAAAAACCTCACAACTGTGTGTGTTTATACTTAACATGGAGAAGTGTGCAGAAGTGCATACACCAGGCTATTAATACTGATCACCTTAGGGCCATGACAACTTATGTCTAGAGTTTGACTTGTTAAAATGAACATGCAGTGTTTTGTAACTTAAAAAAAAATACACACACACACACACACACACACAAAATAATGTAGGGGAGAGTTTTTTTGGAATTAATCTGAAGACCAAGATTGAGAAGGGAACTCCCAGCAGCTTTAAATGACTCCTGGTACCAAGACACTGAATTACAATACTACTTTAGAAAGATCCTGTGGGGTGACTGGGGTTTTTGTACAGAGATCACTGAAGAATCCCAAAGAAGAAAAGTTAGAAGATGGTAGGTGCTCTAGTAACCAAAAAGAGGGAAAGCAGAGATTTCTGAAATTAGGAAGTTGGCTGTTGATTCCCAGCAAAGTCCTGGAACAAATCACTAAAAAGGTACCTTGCATATATTTAAGAAAAGAGGTGGCAGTTACTAAGAGCCTGCATGGGTTCCCAGAATTAAGTCATGCTAAAGCTAAATTAATCATATTTTCTTTGTCTCTGTATCTCTCACTCTCAAATCAGAGGATCATTGTAGAAATAAAGTATTAAAAATTTTCTCATACTATGTAAGTAGTCAAGATAAACATGAAGTAGAAATAAATGTGAAGGTTCAGACCCAGAGTATTAATTAATCTTCAGTAAGCCTTAAGGAGGTAGGGCTTTACCCCTGACTTCTCCTTTGAAGTTGTTGGCTATCAATTTAAAAAAGAAGACTATAAAAAATGTCATATATAAATATACACACACATACATATATATATATATAATATATAAAAATATTGAAATGATATGAAGCTTGGAAGGAGAGCTAAATATTCTTAAGGATAAAATAAAAAGTTCCTGCCAGGTTGGAGAGACTGCAAGAATATGTAATGGAATGGGATCACATGGAAATTTACTTCAGGTTCAAAAATTAACTCCACAAGAAAGAAGGCAAGCTGGATCAATAAGAATACAGATTTTTAAAAGCTGAAGAATTATAGTTAACCCTGAAGTGACTCTTAGGCTTAACTAATGGAGGGTTATCATGAGAGCGAGTGGAGATGTGCCCCTGGTATTCCCTGTGGGGGCAAGGAACACAGAGAGAGCCCAGGACTGGGACTGCAGAACAGAGGGAATGTATTCAGAAGAGGGCTGCCAGAGAGAGCCGGGGTCTGGAAATCACGTCTGCAGAGCCACGTGAGGGCAGGGGCAGATTGCCAAATTGAATTACTCCCATCACAAGTTCAGAAGAGGCTGTGGCGACCTGGGTGTGGAGGGGACCTGGGTGTGGAGGGGAATCCCACACTCTGCCTTTGCCCTGCCATCAAGGCGTTCCTTGCCTCCCCTCCTTTTCTCCTAACCCCCCTGCATATCCCACCTCCTCAGAGCCAGGTGGCACGAAGCTGTGGGCAAGATGGCTTAAAGAAGCCATAGACTCAGCATTAAACATTCAATCTCATGGTGAGATTGCTATTCACATTTTAATTTTCTGTCAATCCACTGATGACCTATAAAGAAAGTATGTTTGGTGTTAAGTTCGATCTTGCTCATACTGGCTAACCTTCCCATTTTAATCAGGAAAAGACAGGCCTGGGAGGGAGAGCCTTCAGCAAGCCACAATACCTAGTTGGAATTTTAAACATTGTTATGTTCCCGTTGTATTTATTTTTAGGCCTAATTTATGATAAATTAAACTGGCTTTCCATTTAAAGTAACGATATCAAGTTTCTGATGTGGAGCAAAATAAAATGTGAGAGAGTCTAATGGTATTTGAAGTAAGAAGATATTAGCAAAGAAACACAGGGCTGTGCCCAAAAACAAAACTGAAAGTCTGAGGACAGGGTAACCCAGGGCAGGGCAGGGTAACATTGATCAGCATCAGTATCAGGTAACAACTTTGATCACAGAAGTACAGTGTACTCACACTTGGAAGGAACAGGCAGTAGAGAAGACGACAGAGCAGCCATGGGCTAAGCAATGTCTCCCAGGAGGGCAGATGGGTTACAGTGCTGTGAAGCAGAAAGAGCAGGAAACGCGGTCTAATAGGGCTCAGGGTGCGAGTCTCTAGGGAGGTTCTTGCCAGGAACCCGGGTGGAGTAGAGGGAGGAAGTAAGGGAAAGAGGGGGTCTGCGTTTTGAGAAAAAGAAAAGCATCAAGGCTTGCATACTGGGGAAGTTTCTTCAGGTAAGTCATTCTGCTGACTGGCAGCCATGCGGAAGGGAAGGCCTGTGGGTGAGTGAAGGCGGGAGCTCTCTCTCCTGGTGGCCCGGCTGGCTTGACCTCAATGGAGCGAATGCAGCCTGCTGTTTTCATTGTTTGTCCTGCCTTTACTGTGGACAATGAGTCAGCAAGTCAGCAATTTCCTTTCAAAACACATTTATTTAGGCTTTAAAAAAGTCCCAAACAGATATTTGTACGTCCTGTGTGCAGCAGCATGATTCACAATAGCCAGAAGGTGGAAGCAACCCAAGTGTCCACTGTTAGATGAATCAATAAACAAAATGTGGTTTATACACACAATGGGACATTATTCATCCTTACAAAGGAAGGAAATTCTGACTCATGCTACAACATGGATGAACTATGAAAACATTCTGCTAAGTGAAATAAGCCAGATACAAATGGACAAATATTGTACGATGATATGAAGTGTTGTCGAAGAGAATTCATAGAGACAGAAAGTAAAATGGTGATTACCAGGGGCCGTGGAGTGGGAGAGGGCGGGGTTATTTTTTAACACATACAGAGTTTCAGTTTGGGATGATGAAAAAATTCTGGAGCTGGGTCGTGGGTGATGCTTGTACACCAAAATGAATATTACTGAATTGTACACTTATAAATGATTTAATGACTTTAAAAAGAATTAGAGAAAACCATCAAGCACAGAAGAACCCCGCGGCTGCCTGGCTGTGGAGAAGGCGGTAGAGGTGTGTGCCACAGCTCTCTGCTCCCCCTCCCCGCTCCCTCCCCCACCCTCCTCTGCCCATTGAGTGTCCCTGCTCACATCAATGCGCCTCTTGCCTCTGGCTTCCAGGTGGAGTCTGTCGATGGGACGCACCAGTGGAAGGAGGGAGGAAAGAAGACTGAGAGTGGAGAATCTGTTTCCCTGTCCCCCCTGCAGGGTCGCTGGCCCCTGGAGCTCCTTCCTGTCGCCTCTTCAGAGCGCCCACTGCCCTTAGCCCCAGGGAACAGCCCTCTCCCTTGTGGAGTCCCCACTCCCTACTACCACCTTTCTAAATAGTCCTTTTATTAAGTTCTCAAATCACCCAATTAGAATGCACATCTGTTTCCTGCAGGACTGCAGCTGATACTAGGTTATTTACAAAGATCAAAGTTTGTGAAGCACTGGCCCAAGGAAAATCCCCTTTGCTCCCAGAAGATCTCTCTGATCCTCCAAACCAGAGAAGGCAAAGGTAGGGGACAGTGAATGTTGTCACCCTCCCACCCTCCATTTCTCTCCTGTCCCAGGGACTTTTTTTCAAGTGTGATTTTAATACCGTGAACCCAGCAATCTACTGCTTTTCCTCCAGTCCCACAGACTGTAAACTCCATTTTTTGTACATGACAAGATTCCAATAAAACAAATGATTCAGATATTTCATGGAGTTTTATTTTTTAAAATGTTTAATGTTTAAAGTGTTTTCCCTGTGTATGTTCCTATTGAATACTAGGTACAGATGCTCACGGATACGGCACAATTGTAGCTAAATGTGAGTAAGAAGGCTGAGATGGCAGTGGCGACAAAGCTCTGCCAAGTCAAAGATCTCTGCCCTCCAAGATGGCTACTTATGGAGGAAATAACCAAGAGTTTTGCCTTCCTTCTTGGTCATGGCCTAGAATAAATTGAACCCCCCTCTCAAACTGAAATCCAAGGAGTTGTAGCCTGCCCAGGCTTATTCACACGTCATTTTCAGGTCATGAGAAACAGTCACACTTGCTTTTAAATTCACTGCCTCAGGCAAGCAGATCATCTTTTTACTGCAAAAGAAGAGCAACGAGAGGGTTATGTGCTCAGGGCAAGTCAGGAGAAAGGGCTACGAGCTGTGGGCTCTATGCCTCCATGAAGTCAGGTGAAAGCATCTGCAGTCATTTACCACAGAAGCCGACTCCTGTCCCTGAGTGCCCATATCACAACGACAGGCATTCCTGCCAGAGGCAGGGCGAAGGGGGTGGGGATTCTGCATGCACACCTGTGGCTGTGACCCCTGGAGGGGGCTAAGGAGCAGGAAATTTTCAATGAGAAATATATATTCCAATCAAATCTTACATTTAAACTAAATAAAACTGATATATAAAATAGAATACACACACACATACACACACACACACACACACATATATATATATATATCAGATAAAATGGAGTTTCTTACACTGAAGAGTGAGTGGGAAATTAAATCCACTCTCTGGCTTCCTCTCACCCCAACCCCAGATGGCCCTGCAGGGGGTTTAGGAAAACCCTAGGTCTTTGTCTTCTTTGCTTGGAGGAAGCTAAGCACCATGATGTGTTTGCATCTCAACAGGGGTCACCTCTAAGATCAGGCTCTGTCCTTGTGGGTGTGTCTGGGGACTCTGGACTTACTTGTCATTGACGGGTAAAGGGGCAGTGCAGAAATGCCCAGCGATGGTAGTGCGGTCTCTTTTCCAGACATGGTTGGAAGCCTGGAACTTGAGTTTTACTTGGTTGATCTGGCACTGAGGGTTGGTGTGAGCTATAACTCCTCGCCCCTGCAGCTGCTGTCTAGGTCTGCAAGGGAAAGGGAAGGACATTACTGCTGCTCTGCTGGCCTTTGCTTCCCCTTGGCTCCGACAGGGACCTGCCAGTAGCCTTGGGCAGCCGCCACACACAAAACAGCACCTTGAAGCGAGGGACCACCGTTCTTTGTCTCTCCCGCATGGGCCACTCAGCCCATGTACCTACATTTTTGAAGATGACTCAGAAAATATTTGTTATTTAATTTGTTAAAGTAAACAAGTGGATACTGCAGAAAATAGTAACTCCTGGATTTTCACATCTGGAAAAATGTTCCTTATCCTTAGATTGCTAGTTGGAGACCTTCCCTTTCAGATCCACCTCCCTGGAAGTAGAATCCTCTTTTAGGACATTCAAAGAATTTTATGAGGACTACTCTATTTTAGATTGAGTATGAATTGTGTGAGGGGGAAAAACCAGCCAAACAAACAAACAGGTCCTAAAGCCAGACAGAGCAGGGCTGGAGCCCAGGTTTTGTCTCTTCCAGCTGCGTGGCTTTGGAGTCAAACAGTCCTAGGTCTAAACCCCAGCTCCCCGACGTGAGCTATGAGCTTGACCCACAGGGCTTGGCCTGAGTTGACTGCAGCCTACAGGACCCTCGGTGAAAACAAGACTCCAGGTAGATGGAGGGAAGAGTATGTAGCCACCAGCCTAAAAAGTCGCTTCAGAAGGGCTGCGGGACCTTAGATAAAGTGAGTATAAAGAGTGGAGCAAAGAGGCCTGCGAGGACATCCCCAAGGGCCTGTGTGCGGGCGCAGGGAAGGAGCCCCGCCGCACACAGGCAGCAGCCCATGAGTGAAGGGATTTGTCTCCTGCACCCTGAAGGGGGCTGCAGACCCTTCCCAGTCCTCCTGGGCTTGGCGGCCGCCAGGACCGTGAGAAAGGAGAGCTGGGAGGGGCTGCCTTCTGCCCAGCGTGGGCGCAGGGTGCTCTCCACCGGGTGACCCATGGCTGGGCCAGCCTGGTTTCCCTTTCCTTTCTGGCCTCTGCACAGTGATGAAATGCCTTCTTCATGTTCTTCTTAACCCAGGGTTGTTAGTCATATAGTTTACTTTCTCCTTTTGAGGAAGATCCTGTACAACTTTGTATAAAAGCTAGTCCTTTTTTTTTTAAATATCAGAAGTGTTTTAAAATATTCTGGGAGAAAAAATAAGATTGTTCCCTTTAAGAAGCTTCTTGGGTAGAGGAGTTTGAAAAGTAGAGGCATGAAGGTGCTGTGGGTGAGTGGGCTAGGGACTGAGTCTGGGTAAATTTTCTAATAAAAAGGAAATCTGGGGGTTTCACAAAGCTTTAGGAAGTAGGAGAAAGACCATACATAACCCCCTGTCCCTTGTTTCCTTTTTTCAATTTCTGTTCGGCAAGAGGGAAAAAAACCCCAAAGGCTGAAGATAATCATGATAGCTTTCCTGAGGGTAATGCAAATCTCTTCGGGAGATGGAGGAGAGAATCTGGATGCCCTTTCCAATCACTCGGGGAGCTTTCAGAAGTAGTGGCTGGGGCTATGCCAGAGTCTGCTGCCGTGTCTCGGGTAGGGCTGGGCATTGGTACTCAGTAAGGCTCTCCAGGTGGTTCTAACGCTCACCCAGCGTTGGGTGTCATTGTCCTGATTCCTGCCAGTGTTGGCTCCTCTCCTAATGGGCTGGAGAGGTATTGGAAACACCCTTGTAGAAATAACATAACCTTGCACTGATTTAATGAATTATTCAGCTACAATCTGCAAGGCTCACGTGGGCACCAGAAGATCTGTGCTGGGATCCTGCTGCCATACTTCCCTGTGTGGCCTGGGTGACCTGGAGCCCATGCCAGTGGCAGGGGCTTTGGGAGCCCAGTGTGTGCTGTCTTCCCCGATAGCGCAGTTAATGTCCAACACCACAGCCTGAGAAACGTTTTCAAACCCACATCTGATCCGGTCACTCTCCTGTTTAATTTTCAGTGGCTTTCCAAACTGCTCTCAGGATCAAAACCCAAATCCCTAACGTGTCCTTCAAGGCCTGGTACAGTCTGGCCCTGACTTGCCCCTCCAGCCTCTCTCACTGTGTCCTACTCCCTGTTGTCCCCTGCCAGTGTCACTTGGCCTGGATAACTCCTTCAAATCCGTTAAATCTCTACTGAGAGATCATTTCCTCTCATTTGATCAGGCTGTCTTGCTTGTTCTCACAGCCCCTGCCCCTGTTGACAGCTGTACATTTGTGTGTATGTGCACTGGTCATTTCCCTGTTTGTGCTCCATCTATTTCCCTGAGAACTACATGCTCAGGCTCCCTGCCAGCAGGTCCCAGGGAGGTCTAATGCACAGGTGGGAGACTGCTCTGGGCAGGGATTCTGGAGGAGCTGTTTCCTCCCTGCTTCCAACTCCTGCCAAGCAGCCCCCGCTGTGACTCCTACAGACACCACCTTGCTTTCTCCCTCTAGTCCAGGCTGAAAGCAACTTCTGTAGCTTATCTCTGCAGTGCCTCCCCTTTTGGGTTTTCAGTTCTCCCAACACATCTGTCATTAGTTCCCTGTATTAAATTCCTTCTATTGGACTGCCTGATTAGTCTGTCTCCCGCTGGCTTGTAAGTAACCATCCCATTGCTTTTTAAAGAAACATGCGCCACTGCTGCTGAGTGGCCCTCCCCACCAGCCTTGAGGCTCTTTGCCCTCCCACCTCAAGCCTGGCCCTCAGCTGTGGGGCCCCAGTGTAACCCAAGGGAAGGAAGTGCTCAGTCTGAGTTCGAGGGACTAGCACCACCCAGCACCAAGTCCTGCCGACCCTCACCTTGCACTCATTAGCTAACTGACCCTCTGCGGGCGATTCTGCTCTAGTAATCCACTATTACTGGCCACTCCCCTGGGAGTGGGTGTTCCCAGGCTCTGGGCAGCCCTCCCTGGGCCAGTGGCTAAGGCCCTCCAACTTACTGACATCCTGATGCCTCCTACCTGGATTCCTGAGCACTGTTTCCTACTTGGGACTCAATTCCTATATTCTCACCACCTGTTGGGACACCCCATTACTGTGCCTGCCTGCCACATCTGCTATTGTCCTAATGTACCATGCTTGGACCCACCACTGATCTTGAACCAGGGATAGTGGTCCAGCACACGTCTGCGGGTGCATCCGTGGTAGGTGCTGCCCTCACCCCCACCCCCAGCCCAGTGGCCTTGGCCCACCCATCAGGGACCACCCAGTGCCTGTCTTGGGATATACATGCATGTGTGTGTGTGGTGTGTGTGTGTGTGTGTGTGTGTGTGTGTGTGTATGTGTGCATGTGTGCACATGCACAGGTAAAATGAAAAGCCAACTAGTCCTAAAGAGAGAGGCTAGCCAAGATACGTACATGGTGATCTTGCCCGAGGAGGTGACATTGCTGCTGAGGAAGGTGACCACAATGTTGGTGTCCTTGTTTCTTCGCTTCTCCAAATGAAACTCCACGAGGCTGTGATGCACTAGGAAACCAAAGCAGAGCAGACAGCTGGGCCATGGGTCAGTGGGAGCAACGCACAAAAAGCCCCAGAGAGCAGCAGTGTGGTTGAGAATCTTGGCTCTACCTCTTCATAGCCATGGGACCTGGAGCAGATTACCTGTCATTGCAGATCCTCAGGTACCTCAAGTGTAAAGTGGGGATCATAAAAATAGATCCCCATGAATCTGAATCAGAATTAATGAGTTAATACATAAGAAGTCCTGAGACAGTGCTTGTGACTAGGAAGCATTCAACGTGTGTTAGTGTTCATTATTATTTGTAATGTTAGAAGGTCTCACTCCTCCCTGTTTGGTGACATCCTGGTGGTATGATTTTGAAAGAACCAAAAAGAATCTATTTTATACTAAAAACAATTAACTCATAGAATATAGCCACGCCCCTCATCCCCCGCCCCCCCACCATACACACAGTGTCAGGGAGCCCACTGTGTGTAGGTGATGACTCTTTCCCTCCCAGTGGTGGCTGGGTGCCTATGTGGCAGCTCCATCCTCCCGGGCATCAAGGGCACTGCGGCTCTGAAGGCTGGTGTCCCTGACAGAGACTGGGAGAGCAGCCTGTCTCACGCTGATGCCCCGAGACCTGCTATCCCGCTGGCGAGACAGGTTAATAAGGATTACAGTTTCCCTAAGACCCTATCCTTTCCTTATCAAGGGGTAGGTCCATCTGGCAGTATTCTGCAGTAATGGGTCTTGGAGCCTTTACACAGACTCCTTGGTGACGGGACATAGCTGCGAAGGCAGTTCTTCCCACCTCCCCTGCCTGTAACCTCTCCATTTGTCATGTTTTATGGGAAAATACTGGGGGGACATAAAGTGGACTTAGGTAGACACAGCACTGGGTTGGAGGAGTGCTGAGGTCCATCCAGGCCTGTGGGGTCAGTACTGGGACTCGCTGACAGGTGCTAAGATGCCGGGAACCCACAAGAGGGAAGGGGCACCACATGCTCCTCCACAGGGGAAACATCCAATGCTTTGCTCTTCGTCTCCCTCACAGAGTGGTTTACTATGGGATGTAGATGAGTGTGGTGATGGACAGGGCCAACCTGGAGTAGATAACTGAAATGTGGAAAAAAAGGCTAACTTACATCAGCTTTAGGAATTTCATTCTCTGGGCTGAGTTTGATAAATTATATCACTTCCTCCTTTGCCAGCAGGTATCACTGATTAAGCAAGTGTCCTAAGGTTCTGCTTCTGTCTTCTCTACCTTATCTGGAAGCCCCCTGAGGACCAGATCTGCTAACAGTGGGTGGTGGGAACTGGTAGTGAAGTCCAGTCTGCACAGGGCATGGCATGGGAGCAGCACACAACCCTGGGTGCTTGGCCAGGAGACCTCGATCTGAGGCCCAGCCTTGCTGCTTACCTGCTGTGTGGCCTTGCCTAAGTCCCTGAACCTCTCTGTGCCTCAGTTCCTTTATCTGTCAACAATAATCCCTGACATCACCTCATGCAACACAGTTAGGATTAAATGAAGTAATGGAGAGAAGGTACTCTGCGGGAAACACTGTTCCACAAGGAAAAAGTGATGTTAGAACTATGGTCATTTGAAGAACAACACTGCTGGTGCCTGGCAGGGGTCAAGGGTGACCACTGTCCTGGTAAGCCCTGCTGAGGCCCAGGAAGGCCACGAGTGCTGGCAATGGGAGCCTCATGCCCAGACAGCCTGGGGATGGGTGGGATGAGGAGTGGCCGGCTGCTGGCGCCAACTGAACTACCAGGGAGAAGAGGGTCCCAGCTTCAATGCTCAGAACCACACAGCTCAAAGCATGTGGGCAAACAGGTTCACACTGGCTTGTTTCTTTCTGTGCCCTTCTTTTGAACAGACAGGGCCATGCTTCTGGGCTTCTGGCTCATGGGGCTGGAGACTCACAACAAATATGAAACAGTCAGGAAAACTATGACTATGTGAACCTGCCTGAGGAGGGACCTTAAAATGTCTCTAACGTGCAGGTGTTCCCCCAGCTCCCTGCGGCTGCTGCGCAGACAGGGAGGAGCAGTTCAGCCCCGCTGCCCTGTCCCTGGGAGCGCTGCCTCTGCCACGGGACAAAGCGCCCTCCCTCTGGCCGACCTCTGAGGGGGCAGCGAGGACAGAGGAGGAACAGGAACTAGGGCTGTCGGGAGCAGGTTCTCAGAAGGGGACCTGTGGCAGCATGCACAGAGTATAGGTTTTTGAGTCAGAAGACCCGGAGCTGAATCCTGACTTTTTCACCTTGCTGGGCAGCCTTGGGCACATCACTTAGTCTCTCAGAGCCTCCCCTCCTCACCCTGCCTCTCAGAGATGTTCTGTCCAATGAGCTGGTACACGTGAGAAGCCCAGAGTTGGCTCTTTGAACCCACTTTGTCCTACGAAGTAGCCATGAATTCTCTTGAGCATCAAGTTAGAAACATCCACACCCAGTCTCCCAAATTGCCTGGTTGTTAAAGGGGAGGGAATTAAGACTTGCTAAGTTCTAGTAATGTGCTAATGACTTCCTGTATACTAGTTCATTTCATCCTCACAACTGATTCTTTGAAGTATGTACTGTTTCTGTTCTCACTTTTTACATAAATATAGATGGATATTCAGAAAGGTCACTTGCTCCTGATCATACAACTAGTATGTGGAGAAGCTAAGATTCAAACTGAAGTCTGCGTGACCACAGAGGGAATGAGCTTTGGGCTCCCATCACACTGCTCCAGGCCTTCTAGGACCAGGAAGGCATGGCTGTAAGGACCCCTCCACCAGCCAGACACAAGCTCATCAGAGAGTCAATCAGAATCAATCAGATATCACTTATCACCCTAACTCCCTGTACACACAATAAATCAGACAGGATCCCAGGATAATAAGCATCAACCGGGAGTTATAGTCACCCTAGTTAGGATGCAAATAGCATAGGGAAAGATGATGGTTCTGCCTGTAATACATGTCGTAGATTCTAACACAGACTTCTCTCTCACATTTAACATCTTTTACAATCACTGGCATCTTAGCTTCAATGAAATGCAGTGGTTGAAGTAATGGTGAACATCCAGAATATGTATGAGAAGGAGAAGAGAGCAGAGGGTGAGGTTCTATGTTCCTCAGGGACCCAGACCTAGGAGAGCTGCTGGGGTGGGAGACACATAGGATCGGCACCAAGGAGGGGGTAAAAAAGTAGGCAGGAAGGAAGAGGTCAAATGCCACTCCAGAGAGAACCTGAAATAGAGGGCAGATTTCCATTGTACAGTGCCAGGTGGTGGTGGTGTGGTGGGGAACAACTAGGATTAGTATATAGACAGTATGATGCCCCCAGGTCCTCATCCATAGCAATGGGTTTGACTGGTTCTGAAAGTTCTGGTTCTATTGAAGATGAGAGGCTCCTACCCCCATCCCTCCTGTGACATCTTTGCCCCAGTCCTTCACCTCCCACCCCACCCCGGCTGCCATGCTGGGCTGGACACAGGCCAGCCCAGAGCCCTGGACTCTGCTGAACAGCACATGGGCAGAAGTGAGCCGTGCGCTTGCCCCAACTCACCACAGTACGGAGCCCTGGAAGTGGTCAGGAGGTAGACTCTCACTTCCCTGGGAAGAGGCTCTATCCTGACACCGCTTTGTTCCACCAGCCCTAGAAGTAAAGAAGCAAAGGCCATTTCAGAGTCCCATGGCACTCAGCCACATACTGATTAATTCATGCACCCCTTCACTGTACCAACCACTAAACCATATGCTCATTATGCACCATGCCACTAAACTATATGCTCATTATGTGCCATGCCCTGTGGTGAATCCCAGGATATGTGTAGCTCAGTCCAGCTGAGGATACACACACCAGCAAACAGGAAATACATTCTTCAGATCATCTGGCCTGTTCTAAGGAGGTTTTTATAAGGACTTTGAAATGCTCTCCCCAACTTGTGGAACAATCTATATGATAGTTGTTTGAATAGCATTTGCATCCTTTGTTGGTAGAGCACAGAGAAGTATTTGGCTTGAAATAATGGTCGACAAGTTGGGGAAGGTGTTCCAAGCACGGAGTGCAGTCTGGGCAAGGGCACAGGGGGCGAGGAACCATGGAACACTCTTGGGAACACGAGCAGTTAGTGTCCCTGGGGTGTTCAGTGCCAGGGGAAGTGCGAGAGGAGCTGGGCAGATGGTGGGACATGGTGGCTACACAGCTGGTCCGTCCCACCTGGCGGAAATTGTGACAGATGGCGGTTAGTGGAAGTAATGCTGATTTTCTTTACTGAGGGAGGCTACATGTACATTAACATTCTGTCCATTTGACACCCATTTCATTCATATAAGCAACGACAGGCTGCTGCACTTCTGAGCGGCACCTGGGGTGTAGGAGTGTGGGGCGAGTGAGGGAGGGGTGGGAACTGTTTTCTCTTCCCAGAACTTTTCTGGAGCCCTCATCCTGGATAACCCCAGGATGTTCCCAGCAATGATCTGCATGGGGTGAGTGGACGCCAGATCCCTCAGCCTTTCCGGAGTCCTTCTCCCAGACTGGCCTGGATCGCCCAGGAATGTGCCTAAGCCACCCAGCAGTCAGGCATCCTCCAGCTGGCCCGTGGCCACTGCAGCCTTGCACCTCTAAAGTGGGCCCTGTGTGCCAGTCTTGGGGATTCCTCCACAGCACCTTGATTTAGAGTCTCTCAGGAGGTGACATGCAACCGGCCTAGCTAGAAAGACCTAAGCGAGCATCTATTCTGCGAGTGCGGGCAGGGACTCCACCAGTGTTCTAGAGAGCATTCTGAGGCTGGACCTGCAGATGGAACCCATGTGTGTGCAGGTGTGTGCAGGACAAATGGCATCAGCAGCAATATGGTGGGTGAGGCGTGGGACCTGGACCGCCAGAGGCCATTTTGTGGGAACAGGCTGAACACCTCATTGGCTACTTTCTTTACCCCAGTTGGATAGAGTTCTTCACCTTAAGAGACTGGTACTTAATAAAAAGGTGACCACAAAACCTGAACTTTCCCCAAATTATCAGAGAGCCAAAGGAATGAATGGCATTTACCGATCCTTGGACAGGAAAGCAGAAAAGGGTTAAAACAATCCAGACAGTGTCCAGCAAGAAAGGCCTTGTAGCTGGCACAGGGAAAGGCCATCAGCAGACAGGAATTCTCCAGGGCACTGATGTAGAGGTGCACGGCCCTCATGTGATCACAAATCACATAATCATAGCCTGAATGATTGGGGAAAAAAAACCCAAAACCAAAGTTTCAGTTTAAAACAAATGGAAATTCCCTCCATGCTATTTACTGTAACTTTAGCTGAATTTTATATTCTAATAGGCTATAAATACATGGGATGTCCCCTGAGCCGCATTTTAAAAATATTAATTACCATGGTTACCTCATCTCACTTTTCCTTTTTATTTTCTTGAGGTACCTAAGCTTAGTTTATCAAGAAAATCAATTAATTTGAAACCCATTCTTCCTTGATCATGCACACTCTCTTTCAGAAAGTGGGAGCACACAGACAGTTGGGGATCCTGACCCCACTTCTCAAAATAGATATCTGTCTGCACGTTTTACCTTCACCTTCACCCACACAACCAATTTTTTACAAGCTCATTGTACCCAACCCAGTGATGAGACACCTAAGGGAGTCAGCAGTTATTCATGGTCAATCTCTGAAAGCAACATTCTGGGGTCCACCTAACTAAATGATTCTTACACTGAATTTGCAAAATGCCTCAATTTACCAAAAAATTTGGCTTCCTTGTTATTGTTGTCATTTACTATTTAAAAATTTGCAGTGACTCACATTGTACAAATTGGCTGGAGCTAAGAGGTCTGTAGTGAGCCACAATTTCAGGGTTCTGGAATTTTCACCTTGGAACCCCCAACTCTAGGACCAGCAACCATATCTGAGCTGTGTATTGACTTTCCTTTCCCCCCAGGGTTGGGACACTCCCTACAGCCAAGCTCCTTCCAGCTGCAACAGGAAGCTGGGAGACACAAACTAAATACCCTCCTCAAACTGTGTCATGAAGAAACAATGACAAGTGGCTAGCTAAAATGCCACAGAAATTTTCAAAAGTCATTAAGACCAAACTATCTCATCTGATCAGTTGTAGGAAAATCTAAACATTGTTAAAAGAAACATGTTAGCGGTTATCCAACAAAACTGTCAAAAGAATCCTTCAAACATCAAACGTTTGGTAAAGCAGGGAAAGACAAAAAAAAAACCATAGTAAACAGAAGTTGGGACATAATTCCCATATGATATGTTGGCTATGCTTTCAAGAAGAATATAAGAAGACTAAATAACCCTTGATGCTTAGCTTTTGACAAATTTAATATCATTTAAAAATGATATTAAAATATCATTTAATATTTATTTTATTTTATTTTCAATTGACTATATTGACAAGAACATAGTCTTGTCAATATATATGCATTGACAATGCATATATTCAAAAAGAACATTCCAGAAGAATATATTTGCAAGAGAAGAAGTGTATATTTGTTGGATGTACCCAGGAAGACTATCTTGAAAACAGTTTTGGACAACTGTTAAATTGAGTAAGTTCGGAGAAATGGTCATGCAATGAACTGATCATTTAGCTAGCTAGCTGGGGGCCCATGGGTCTACTTCTAGCACAACTAGGCTCTGCAGAAGATGTAGCTGGTGTGGACTCTGCCAGAATGTAGGGCCTAGGAAGAAGAGAGGTTATTGATTGAGGTTATGTTATGGTAGGGCCTAAGAAGTGGGGAGAGCAGCATAAGTATGCTTTTAATTTCAGGTACTCCCCCTGCAGCATACCTGGGCTCCAAAGACATCCACGCAATAGGTGCTGAGTAAGGCATTATGGAACATGGCAAAGGACCCTGGACAGAACCCCCCAGTGGCCCACACTGACTCACACAAAGGCTGCTGGTGACTTCCTGTTTCTGGGGTAGCCAAACACCCACCTGCATGAATGAAGGTGGGACAGCCAGGTTGGTCTTGGCCTCCGTTGACAAAGTAGTCCACATGTCCAACAGGAATCCGAATACCCAAATCTGAAAGAAAGCAGAGCCCCATGACCTTCTCACTGCAGGGTGCACGTTCCAGGTCCCACAGCAGGGTCCCCAGCAGCACAACCCCCACTTCCAGGGCTGAATGGGTGCCCACCCCACTCCTAAGTGCTGTGAGACCGCAGAACTAGCCTTCAGTTTCCTAAAGGAGCTTTTCCATGCTGAAAGGAAGCAAAGAAGAATAGATTCATAAGAAGACATTCATATTTGTCTAATAAAAATTTTAAAATACCAATATAAATTTTTTATAAATCAGTACATGTTGAAGCTTGTACATTTCTGAATAATTGAATAGCTTTTATTTCACTTTAAGCAGTAGTCCTGATAATTATGTTTGGGGCCACATTTTCACAGCCTGCCACATATTTTTGTGTTCTCCTGAGCAGAAATATTACCTCCCTACAAGGAGATGAATCTGGGAGATTGCAGCGCCATCTCATCCCGGTGACCATAGCTGACCCCTCAGACTAGGTCAGATCCAGCTGCCAAAGACTTTGCTTTTTCACGTCGTCTATCAGTCTATCACCGCTGTAAGCAACTGACTGCATATTCTTTGTTTAATGCCATCTCCCCAGGGGTTAAGCAATGACCTAGGAGTTATTCTTGATTCCTCCCTTTGCCTCGCTCCCTCCTTTAGCCCATCACCTGTCTGTGCAGCTCTATCTCCAAAATATATTTTGAATGTTTCTACTTCTCTCTGTCTCTACTGCCACCATTTTTGCCCAAGCCACTATCAGCTCTCACCAGCCCACTTCTGCAAACACCGTCTCATGAGCCTCCAGGCTTCCCTTAGCGCTCCTGCAGCCTGGTCACTGCGCAGCAGCCACAGGAATCTTCTGAGGCAACATCCAAACTGCCACCCTGTTCTCACTGACTGTGGAATAACATCTAAAACTCCTTATCTACTATACTTCAGTTAAAAAAGAGAGAAGAGGAGAAAAAAAGAAAAGAGAAGAAGAGGAGAGGAGAGGGAAGGGGAGAGGAGGGGAGGGGAGGGGAGGGAATGGGAGGAGAGGGGAGAGGAGGGGAGGAGAAGATAAGAGAGGAGAGGGAGGGGAGGGGAGGGAGGATAGGAGAAGAGAGGGGAGGGGAGTGGAGGGGAGAGGAGGGGACGGGAGAGGAGGATAGGAGAGGGGAGGGGAGGGGAGGGGAAGAGAGGAGAGGAGAGGAGAGGGGAGGGGAGGAGAGGGGGGGGAAGAGGAGAGAAAACTTGCCATGGCCAGCCTGGGACTGCTCCCTCTTCTGCAGCCTCACTCAGCACCGTGCTCAGGGCACCCTAACCACAGGGTTTACTTTCTGTCCCCACCCATATCCAGGCCTTCATTGTGGCTGTCCTCTCCCCCTAGGACTGACTCATTTTCATCTGCCAAGTCTCCCCTCAGATGTCACATCCCTAGACAGACCTTCCTCAATAACCCTACCTGAAGTAGGCCTACTCCTACCCAGTCACCCTCTATCCTGTATCCTTCATAATCATAGTCACCATCTGCAATGATCTTACCTGTTTACCTGCATGTATGCTCCACAACAACAGGGCCTTCACCTGTCTTCTGTCCGCTATATACTCAATACCAACCCAGTACCTGGCCTATGGGGTGTCTAAGAAATATTTATTGAAGGAATAAATGGATGAATGCCTGCCCAGTTAGCCTGTAAATGCCATGTGGGCAAGGATGTTATCCAATGCCTAGCTGATCACGGCATTCTCAGTGCCCATCACATAGCTCGATTAACACTGACTCTATGGAATGACTTTTTTGTTGTTCACATTAGGAAGAGGTTGCATTTTGAAGGGGATTGAGAGACCTAGGTTAGGTAAGGAGGGACCTAACAAGCCACCTATTTAGCAAACTGGGGGACAGAAGAGGTTAACCTTGCTAATCAGCATAGTTAATTAATCCAAAAGCCGGGCTTTGGTTTCCCATCTGTGAGGTAAAGGTGGGCAAGAGGACTGAAAAACATGAGTGCAGGGTTTTCTTCCATACTCATGAAAGTCTTGGGTGCTAGAAGGCAGCTCTGACCAAAGGGAATGAGACATGGACATTTCTCGTTTGAACTGCAAACTTCTCTGGTCTGGTGCCCTTTCTTGGTGCACCCACCACACTGAGTACAGGGCCTGGCACAGCCTCTGTGGGTATCTCATGCCAAGTAGCATTGAGGAGGAACACCCACTCCCTTTCCCAGATGGCCAGAAGAGCTAGATTTGGTTCTAATGGATTCAGAGCTGGGGGTCTTTCCTATGTTGATCCGTATTGGAGGGCGGTATTCTCATTCTTCACTGCACTGAAGGGCCAGACTCATCCTCCGGGAGGCCTGGGTATCTGCCCTGGCAGTGGAATGCCCCAATCTCCTGGGGCCAGGCACACTCATCCTGAAAAAGCAACTGACTTTCCCATGTCAGCCAGGCTGCAACACACACTCCTCCCACCATTACCTTAGCACAAGGTTTAGTGTTGAATCAGAGTGAGACTCATGACTGAACTTATTGTTTTTGGAGCATGAACCCCCTAGTCCAACTTTTTGCCTTTTTCTTAGTGAGGTACATACAAATAAAACATGCAAATCTTAGGGTACAGCTTGATGAATTTTGACATGTATACATTCATGTAACCATTACCCAGATCAAGATATCAAACATTCTCACTAATATTTTCCCTCTTCACCTGTATCATCATCCCCTTACCCACTCCCTTACTCCCCTCCCATATGGCAATTAACAGTCTGTTCTCTGTATGTATGAGTCTATTTCTATTTTGTTTGTTCTTTTTGTTTTTTTTAGATTCCACATATAAGTGAAATCATATGGTACTTGTCTTTGTCTGACTTATTTCACTTAGCATAATACCCTCTAGGTCCATCCATGTTGTTGCAAATGGCAAGATTTCATTCTTTTTTATGGCTGAGTAATATTCCATTGTATATATATGTATAACTTCTTTATTCATTCATCTATTGATGGGAATTTACATTTCTTCCATATTTTGGCTATTGTAAATAATACTGTGATAAACATAGGGGTGTATATATATATTTTTGAGCTAATGATTTTGTTTTCTTCAAGTCAATTCTTAGTATTGGGTCATATGATATTTCTATTTTTAGTTCTTTGAGAGAGAAACCTCCGTATTGCTTTCCATAGTCACTGCACCAATACACAATCCCACCAGTGGTGTACAGGGTTCCCTTTTCTCCATATCCTCACCACTTATTTATTATTTCTTATCTTGTTGATATTAGCCACTCTTACTGGTATGTGATGATATCTCATGGTGGGTTTTTTTTGCATTTCCCTGATGATTACTGATGTGGAGTGTCTTTTCATGTGTCTATTGGCCATCTGTCTGTCTTCTTTGGAAAAATGCCTATTAAGGTCCTATGCCCATTTTTTAATCAGATTATTTGTTTTCCTGATGTGGAATTGTATCATTTCTTATGTATTTTGGGTATTAGTTGCTTATCAGGTATATCATTACAAATATATCCTCCCATACAGTAAGTTTCCTTATAATTTTGTTCATGGTTTCCTTTGCTATGCAGAGGCTTTTTAGTTTGCTGTAGCTCCACTTGTTTATTTTTGCTTTTGTTTCCCTTGTCTAGGAAGACCTGTCCAGAAAAAGTACTAATGCTAATGTTCAAGAGTCTACTGCCTATGTTTTCTTCTGAAGTTTTATGGTTTCAGTTCTATATTTAGAATCCATTTTGAGTTTATTTTTGTTTATGGTGTAAGACAGTGATCCAGTTCATTCCTTTGCATGTAGCTATCCAGTTTTCCCAAAACCATTTATTGAAGAGACTGTCTTTTCCTTATTGTATATCTGTGCCTCTTTTGTCATATATTAATTGACCATACAAGCATGGGCTTATTTGGGGGCTCTCTATTCTGTTACATTGATCTATGAGTCTGTTTTTGTGCCATACTATTTTGATTACAGTAGCTTTGTAGTATAGTTTGAAATTGGGACATGTGATACCTTAAGTTTGAACACATTCTAACAGCACTACATTTTATACCCCCCATCCATGTTTTAAGTATATGATGTTTTCTTTCATACCTTTTAATTTAGTGATCCTCTTAACTAATTTCAATAAGTAATTTATTTTAGTGCGTTTGCCTTTTAACCTTCACATTAACTTTTAAGTGATGGATCTACTACCTTTACTATCTGTTTGCTTTTGCCAATAAAATTTTTTCTTTTCATATATATATATATATTTGCTTCTAGTTATAGCCTTTCCTTTTCCTTTTAAAGAAGTCCCTTTAACATTTCTTGTACGTCTGGTTTAGTGGTGGTAAATTCCTTTCACTTATGTTTATCTGAGAAGCTTTTAATGTCTTCTTCAATTCTGAATGATAACCTTGCCGAGAATTCTTTGTTATAGTTGTTTTCCTTTTAGCACATGGACTATATCATGTCTCTCCCTTCTGGCTTATAGAGTTCATGCTGAAAACTCAGCTGATAGTCTTATGGGGTTTCCTTTATATGTAACTTGTTGCTTTTCTTTTGCTGCCTTTAAGATTCTCTTTATCTCTGATCCTGGACATTTTAATTACTATGTGTCTTGGTGTGGATTCATCTTGTTTGGGGTTCTTCCCAGATTAGGGAAGTTTTCAGATATTATTCCCTCAAATAAATTTTCTACCCCTTTCTCTCTCTCTCTTCTCCTTTTGGGACTCTTAAAATGTGAATGTTAGGACATTTGATGTTGTCTCAGAGGTCTTTAACCTATCCTAATTTTTTTTTTCTTTCTGCTGTGCAGCTTGAGGGCTTTTTATTACTTTGTCTTCCAAGTCACTGATCAAACAATCCTCTAAACTGCTATTGATTCCTTGTAGTATATTTTTCATTTAATTTATTGTATTCTTCCTATCTGATTGGTTCTTTTTTATATTTCCTATTTCTTTGTTGAAGTCCTCCTTTCTTCTTGCAAGTCCAGTGAGCATCTTTATAACCATTACTTTGAACTCTTTATCAAGTGGATTGTTTAACTCTGTTTCATTTAATTCTTTTTCTGAAGTTTTGTCTTATTCTCTTGTTTCAAGCATAATACTCTGTCTCCTCATTTTCTTTGAGTTTCTGTGTTTGTTTCTATGGATCAGGCAAAGGAGCTACCCCTCCCAGTCTTGAAGATGTGGGCTTGTGCAGGAACATCGTTGGCTAGACTGTGTGTGTGTGGTGGGGGGCATTTAGACTGGCTGGCTGCAGGCTGGGTGAGCTTAGGCTAGGGTGTCCCAGTGCCTGGGCTCCCAAGGCATGCTCTGGGTGGCTTGTGGATGAGCACAGGGCCAGGGCTAGGGCAGTATTGGGAAGGGCAGCTGGGTTTGGAGGGGCCTGGTCTGAGGGTCTCTTGAGTAAGCACCAGGCAGGGACAAGCTTGCAGGGCAGCCAGGGTTAGAATTTGCCTGAATGTGGGCCAGCCAGGGCCATGCTAGTGGGGTGACTGAGTGTGTAAGGTTCATGTGAGTAATACTGATCCCTGGTGGGTGCCCGTGGGGCCATGCTAATAGCATGGCCAGGGCTGGAAGTGGTGAAGACAGGGGGAGTCAGGTGAGTGCCAGCCGAGGCCATGCTGACGAGGCAGCTATGGGCAGACAGGGAGCAGGCAGGGTGAATCTGTGTGAGCAGCGAACAAGGGCTGCCTTGGTGGGACTGCTGGATCTGCCGTGAGCACAACTGGGCAGGCTGGGGCGGGTACCGGGAGGCTGCCTCAGTTACATCCGGAGCTAGTGTAAGCACCCAGACCCCGCTCCCGTCCAGCATAAACAATGGCGCTGATCAGAACCTCTGATCCAGGAGAGGGTTCCAGCAGTTCCCCTGCCGCTGGACAGGTGCTTTAGTTCTGAAAATTGGCTGCCTTTGTAGTGTGGTTGCCGTTTAAACCTCAGCTATTTTTCTGTGCCCAAGGGCAGGCAAATCTGTACTCCTCCAGTTCCTCAGTGGTCTCCCTCCCTACTGGAGGGTCCTGCCGGGGTGGGGGCCCCGCCCTTACCATGTCTCTGTCTCTCCTGCTGATGTTTACGTGGTCTTTCTATCCCTTTTTGTGCAGGTGTTTATTCAGGCCTTGGTTCCATCTCAGGAGGAATTCTATGTAGTTGTAGGTTTTGTGTGTACGTGGGAGGAGGTGGTTTCAGGCTTTTTCTATACCGCCATCTTGGACCTGCCTCCATGACTAAACATTTTTGTTCCAGAATTGCAAATCCTCCCGCCTGCATTCATTCCCCCACCCCAGGAAGGTTGGCTAAGCTCACTGTCAGTGTCTGTGTGGATGGCTTCCACAAAGAGGGCATCTCCAGCGTCCAGGCGCTCCTCCAGGCTGGCTCTGGTGTACTCTGGTCCAGCGGGGTCCAGGCCTGCAAGGACAGTTCGAAGTCAGGGGCCCCTTTCCTCCTAGCAGCAGCAGCATAGCTGCGGAAGGGCAGCCCTCCTGTCCCCCAGGCAGGGCCCCAGTCTGAGAGAACCGGCTCAGGGTGACCTCACCCAGGAAACCCCCCTGTGTTGCCTCTGACACAATGACGGTTTCTCTGGCTCTGAAAGGAGCTTGCTGATACCACCATTTGGTAAAGGTTCATGTGAGTAATACTGATCCCCATTTAGTAGTGACAATAGCTCTAATTGGTGGAGCTGTTACCAAGCACCAGGCCTTGTGCTGGGCAATTCAAACACTCTAATCCTCACAACAACACAGTCAACTCAATATTATTACATCCATGTCTTCCTTTGGATCCTTTTCCTTCCTTTTTCCAAAAAGCAGACACTGAGACAAAGATTTAAAGTGCAAGTAGCTTATATGGGAGAAGAACACAGAAGGCAGAGTAAGGGAGTGGAAATATGAGTCAGAGAATGAAGGGAAATTTTAATGAATGAATTATCCCTTTGGGCAATGGGGTCTCATCCCACGGGGAACAGAAGAAGAGTGTAGAACTCAACTCAGAATTGTTCCACTGAAGGGCAGAAAGCTGGGTATTTACTGCGCAACTCTAGTCCCTTATTGATTGAAAGCAATCTTTTGAGGCACAGAGTCTCCAGTGGTTTTGCAAGTTTTAGCAAAACTGTCTAAGGTAATTTCCACAGTGGGCCAAAGAGATACAAGCTATGAGAACTCATTTTACAGATGAAGCAAGTGAGGCTCAGAAAGAAACACATGGCCATTTACACCATATGCAATCATGCAATAACACAATACTATTTTCTTACACACAAGGGCCACAATAAATAAATTTTAGTGGTAATAGATGACATGATTATAAGAACAAAGGACCAACCCTACCCTCTGCTTGCCTCAGTAATTCCTAAGGCATTCTATCTCTAAACCTGGGAGGATGTGCAGAGGAAACATTACCTGTAATCTGTCCCAACTGGCCTTTATAAAAATGTCCCACCATGCCCCCAACGTGGGCCCCCAGGCTGACACCAATGATGTGGATTGAGGACTCTGACACACCCAGCACCTACAACAGGACATACACGGTGAGTTGCATTTAAGCCACAGCAGCCACTGGCTCCCAGGGTCACATTTCCCCATGAGGCTTCAAAGCAGAAGGGCTGGGGCATGAAGCATTCACCACACATGCTTTGGGAAGAAAAGGCAGAATTCGTATCCTGTTAATCACTTGCCCTCTTCCTGGGCTCTCCACCTTGACAATCCCCTCGCTTTCCATTTGGTGCCATTCCCTCCGGAGGGACTGCTAAAGCCAGTCACCGGCACTCCCTATCTAATATGTGGTGGAGGAGGAGCGGTGGGCTCGGAGAGGTTCGATGACCTGCCCAATGTCAGCACTGTAAGTGGCAAAGCTGAGATCTGAACTGAAGACCAGCAAGCTAATGGGTGGCCCTGCTCCGGCCCTAAAGCTCCTCCCGGTGCGTTGCTCTTTCTTTCTGACTCCTCCCTCTCCCATCAGCAGCCAAAACTCACCCTGAGTTCTTCTACACCTACCAGGAGTTTACTGAGGAAACGGGAGATCTCAAGAGCCAGCTTAACCACATTTTCCACTGCTGAGAAGTAGGCACCTGTAGAGCCATAAACCCAGTCCACGGCAATCACGTTAGCACCTGCTGCCCGCAGAAGAACGTCAATGAATTTATTGATCCAGGAAGGCTTTGTTCCTAAAGCCCTAGACAGGGTGCCAAGAAAGGATAGGAAAATAATCTTCCAAGCCAATATCCATTGTCATGAAAACTACAACATTCTCTGTTAACAGAATGAACCTAGAAAAAAAAGTCAAAACAAGTAAAGGGGTGTGGGAGATGTGGTACATGGACAGTAAAATCACAGCAATTTGAGCATAGGCAGGACATAATCCCAGTTACCAGGGCTTCTGCCTGCACATATGGAGCCTTTGTGTAAGTTATAAAAGGGTGCTTTGTACCTTACAGTTAAAATTTGCAATCTTCATTCTCATTCTATACTATGGACATTCTCCTTGAGGATGTTTTCATTTACCCATTCATTCATTCAACCTTTCATTCATACTACAAATGCATCAGGCAGTATGCCAGGTGCTTTGTGAGAAATTAAAAAAAAAAGATATATTCCCTACCCTTTTGGGACTTAGAGTATAATAGGACCTTTCTAGGAAAAGGAGAATGATAGAAAAAATTTCAGAAAGCTTTCACAGGACGTTAGGAAGGGGAAAGAAGCTTGTCAGTGGTCCACAGTAAGGAGACAATCAGAACATGCTCATGTGCACAGAAGGATGCAGACTAAGGGTGCACCATCAGATGTAGCTTCAGGGAAGCAGACAGAATGACGGCCTGCTGAGCTCTCCAGCACTGTTAGCTCTCTCTGGGTTGAGGAGTCTACACTCAGCCTTGGATAGTGGCTGAATGTAAGATTTACTAGAGGAGAGACTGGCACAAAAGCCAAGAGGGATATCTAAGGAAGCTTGTGGCTGGGTCCCTGGAGTCTAGCAAGTTGAAGAGCAGAGGATCCGGAGATCAGGAAGTGGAGATCTTCCGGGCAGTGCCTTATGTCCACCTCTTCATCAGATAGCCTGACTCCAGGTGCTCTATAGTGCTACTATTTCAACACCTTCACTCCTTTCCTCCCAGCAACCTTTCTCTGTTGCTGGCCTTGTCAGTGGGCTTTGGAGAGAAGATGTTGGAAGGAAAGATGGTGATTGAATTGAGACTCAGTGACTATATATTACAACATAACGTGTATGACCAAGAAGAATGAACAACATAATGTGTGTTCACATTGCAATGAGATACCTCTGAGGGCAGCAGGAGGTGAGGGACAGAACGTGTGAGTCAGTCCATCCATTTCTCCTCTTGCTCCCGCCTAAATTCCTGCATGATGGTGATTTTCTAGCTCTGAGCTGAGGTGACCCTATTGGCTGGTTGGCTCCCACCTGAATCCATGGATAATCAGTTTGGTTCCCAGAGTTGCATTGAACCTAGAGTCCTGGAGGTCACTGCTTTTTTCCACTAGCTGCCCACAGCTAGGATCCGAAGGGGTGAAGAGGAGAAACTGGACTTTGAGGTTGGTGCCTCGGAGGAGATTAGCATTCTGGAAGTCAGTGCACTTTGTCTGTGGGGGAGGAGGTGCATCTCCTGAGGAAAAAACAAAACAACGAGAAAGATCCAAGGTGAGGTCATCTGTTCCTAAAAGGAAGAAAGGTGTTAAATCAGTAATCCCTCACTTTCTTAGAAGGGAGAGAAACAGCATTTCCAGGCATTCATTATAAATCAGTAGTAACCAATCAGACTCACTTATCAAAGGCATCATATCTATAACCAAAACTCTGAATATTTTTCACTTCCAAAGATACAATACCAGAGAATGTGACTATTACTCAGCTAGAGAAGACCGTGGTGAAATGGCTACTGTCGTGGGCTAACCTGAGTCTCTCCCAACCCCAAATAATTTTATATGTTGAAGCCCCAACCCCATGACCTTAGAATGAGACTGTATTGGGAGACAGGGTTTTTACAGGGATAGTCAAGTTAAAGTGAGGTCCTAAGGGGGGCCGTAATCCAATGTGATTGGTGGCCTTATAAGAAGAGGACATGTGAAGACACACAGACTTGGCCCTTTACAAGCAGAGACCTGGAGCAGATCCTTCTTAAACAGCCCTCAGAAGGAGCCAGTGCTGCTGACACGTTTGCTTTGTACTTTTGACTTCTAGAACTGTGAGACGATACACTTCTGTTGTTTAAGCCACCCATTCTCTGGCACTTTGTTACAGCAGCCCTAGCAAAATAATAGTTTTCTGAAAAGAGCCCTGGGCAATGAAGTGAGCAGTGGGCTCACTCTGGTCTGAACATCCCATCCCGGAGGGTTCAAACCAGCCGCACCAGTCTCTTCCCTTCTTGACCTTATGAGCAGACCAGAGCCTCCCAGTGCCCAGTACACAGCTGCCAGCCACATGGTAAAAAGCAACTTCTGTGAGCTACACATTCCAATGGCACTTGCTCTTAGATACTTTAAACAGGATATTTTATGGTCAAGGTTATATTTCAATTCAGAACCACTGAATTGAAAAGGGTGGAATAAAACTCCTGCTCTCCAGGGAGCTGGAAATCTGGCCCATCTACAATACCCAACATCCCACCCCAATGTCCACCTCTGTGGGAAAGAGGTGTGGCACCTGATGTCCAGCACATCATACAGGGAGAGCCCGGCACACACGGACCCACAGCACGTGGCCCCAGTCATGGGGCTGTCAGCAGCTGCGTCACATTCTTGCCAAGGGACAAAGCCATTTACAGAATCAGAGAAGTCCAGTTGCAGACATTGGTTTGTGCAGGCCCCTTCACAAGGAAGACAGACACTTTGGGTTTCTGGAACTGTTACCTGCCTTCAGAGGTAACTGGGGAGCACATAGACAACAGACATATGGATTGGGGTGCACCAGGATGTGGTACCATAAATGGACTGTGGGAAACCCATCTTTGGAGTCCTGAGGTGCACCTCTGGTTTCTCCCCAGGACCTGGTCCCCAAGGCGCCCTGCGTCTCCCTTCTGAGCAGCCCTGTGGTGAAGCCCACGCTGAGAGTGCAGCCCCCCTGCCTGTCTGGCCTACAGCTGGCGCCCCACTGTACACAGAGAGAGAGAGAACTCCGTACCACTCATCTGCCTTCCCCAACCTTTGGCTTTGTAAACAGGATGAAAAGACTCTGCTTGAGCTTGAGACTTGAACTACATAAATGAATAAATTTGCTTTATGGGTCATATAGGGAAGACTGCCTCCATCAGACAGAGAATTAACAGTCCTGTGAAGTGAGCCTATCACAAAGGCTCACTTCGTGAGTATGTCACAAAGCAAGGGCCAACAAACATCAAAGAATCAATAGAATCCAGACAGCATGATCTAAATACAATGAATGAAGTTAGAAATTGATCATGAAAAGTATTTAAAATACATTTGGAGATTAATAACCCCCCTTTAAATAATGTCTGGGTAAAAGAATAATCAAAATGGAGACCAGAGAATGTTAAATATATGAAGCCCATCCAAAGCAAAATTTGAGTAAAGTAGCTAAAACAGCCCAGGGGATATGTAAAACCTTAATGCAAATATTAGGGGAGAAAAGGGAAAGATACTGATTAGGTAAATTAATCTTTTAACTCAGAAATTTTAAAAAAGCTGTAGAGCAACTCCAAATAAGATATAGGGAAAGAAATACAAAAGAAATAGTTGAAATTAAAGAAAACAATAAAATGAAATATGAGCAATATTGTCAGCCACTCAGTCAGGGCTCAGGCAGGACTTCCGGAGAGATCTTGGTCTCTTCCTTTTTTCTCACACCACACATACGAATGGTGAGCCAGTCCCCTTGGCTCTCCCCTTAGCAGAAAACATTCAGAATTAAACCATCCTCACTACTGCATAGCTGCCCCCTCTGTCCAAGCCACCACCACCTCTCCAACTTACAGCCCTCACTCTTGGTTTGCTTTAGTCTATCTGCAACACAGCAGCCAAAAAATAAGTCAAATCATGTCACATCTCTGTAAAAAAGTCTCCAAGACATTTCACACAGAATAAAATCCAAAGTCCTAACAATGGACTAAAGCCCTGAATGGTCTAAACCACCGGCTCCAGGGGCACTTTGCCTGTAGAACTATCGCTTCCTCTGTTCCAGTGGCATGCACGACTTCCCACCTCTTCCTCACTCTGCACAGGCCTCCGCCTGAGGTTCTCTGCGTTGTGGTTCCTTCTGCCTGGAGTGTCGCTCCACAGACATCACGTGATTCCCTCTCAAGTCTTTGCTTGTCAGATGTCATCCTCTCTTCTTTAACCACCCTATTTAAATTGTAACCTGCCTCTGTTCCTCAACCCAGTTCTCTCCATCTTCCTTATCCTGATCTATTTATTTTTATAACAATCTTCACCTTCTAATCTACTATGGGATTTACTAGTTTATTATTAAACATTGTTTATTGATTTCCTCACATTAGAATGTGCTTCCCAAAAAGGTAAGAATTTATATCCATTTTGCTCATTGCACTGCCTAGAACAGTGCCTGCCACACACAGGTCTTTGAAAAGAATAACAAACTAGATGTACTTTTGATAAGAGAGAGTAAGAAAAAAAGAGGGAAGCCACAAGTAAACAATATAGGGAATAAAAAGAGGATATAAATACAGTAGATATTTTTAAACCATAAAAGAACATATTTATACCCACCCAAAAGTTAAACAATACAGGTATTTTCCTAGAAAAGTATAATTTCTTAGAAAAGTAGAGCTTACTGAAATTTAGTCAAAAAAGAGAAAACAGAAAAGCAAATGTAAAACTCTAGCATGAAGGAATTGAAACCATGGTTTTAAATCCATTCATCATACAGTTCTACCAGGCCAGACAGTTTTAGAGAAGTTCTACCAATCCTTCAATCCCTGACACTGTTCCAGAGAATAAAAAGGAGAGAGAATCCAAATTCTTTCTATGACAATAACCAAAATATCAAAACTGGACAACAACAGAAAGAGAAAGGAAAACTACAGGCCAATCTCACTATTAAACAGACATACGAATCCTAGATAAAATATCAGCAAATCCAAATCCATCAAGGGTAACTAGAATGAAAAATATGGCATGGCCAAGCAGAATTTAATCCACGGAACGAAAAGATGGTTTAACATTAGAAAATGTTAATGTCATTCATATACAAACAAATTTAAGGAAAACAACCCCATATGCTCATGTTAACAGATGTAGAAAAAAAATACAGTAGAATGCAGTACCCAACACTCATTACCATAAGGTGGGGTTATCTACCAAAAGCCTATAGCAACAATTATACTTATGGGAAGACATTAGGAACATCAGATGATAAAACAAAACTGTTGATCATTCAAGAATATGAAACACGGCCCAGTGAATCATAGTTGGATGTCCCCTGCCCCCAACCACCAGCACATCCGGACTAATGACAGGTGCACAACAGAAGAGAGAGAGAAAAAGACACTGTTTTTCTCAAAAATAAAAATACTATCTCTACGAACAAGGACAGAATTGTATAACAGTGCTAGGTTCCAGGCCTGAGAAAAGGCAGCAACTGTAAGAATTCGGCTCTGTGAAGGGGGCAGGGCCCACAGCTGCTCCGTACCAGGTGTGGAAGACCAGTCCCAGGCCCACCTGTGGTAGCCAGTGGGGGGACAGGGGCTGCCCATCTCCATAAACGAAGCTTAAAACAAAACCACACAAAAGAAAAACAGCTTTTTACCTGGGGTTATAGCTTTATTTAGGGAGGCAGGATGGAAAAGCAAGGCCTCAATAAGAAGCTGAGACGATGTACCTGATGGAAGAGACAGTCTAAAGATGAGGGGTGGGGGAACAGAGACACAGAGAGAAACCAGAAGCACTGAAAATTAAAATGAAACAAATCTATTGTGTTAGAAGTCAAGATAGTTCTCTTTGTGGTGGTAGTGATTAAGAGGGGATATAAGGAATGGTTTTAGGAATCTGGTAATGCTTTCTCTATCTGAATGATGGTTAGGCAGGTGAATTCACTCTGAAAACTCATTAATCTGTGTATTAATAATCCATGCACTTTTCTGTATATATGTTGTACTTCAGTAACAAGTTGACTTTTTTAAAAACCTGTAAACAAAATGTTTAAATGTATAAAGAAATCAAATATTTGCAAAGATAGTCACTAAAGCCAATAAATGGATCAGTACATTCATTCCAGATGAAATAAGGTTTAAAAAACCCTTTGGCATAGACTTTAAAATAAGTATTCTGAGAACATACAAGAATATAATATAGACAGAGCATAAGAATTTATGAAATAAAAACAGCATAAATGACAAAATAAGATATAGAGGAAAAGAACCACTTAGAAAATTGGAAATGAAAAAGACAATCATTGGTATAAAAAAGGAATCAATACTATAATGTCTAGTAGAGAGGTAAAAGAAACTTTTTAGTAAGAAAGTGCAGGTAAAAAGTACAGGCAATACTTGTACTGTTCACCATGTAAGAACTTATTCACTATGTAAGAATTTGTTGTAAGAACTTGTTCGTTATGCTTTAGAAGATTGGAGACTGACGAGAATTAGGCTTGAGATGGATTAATGATTGTGCATTGAGCGTTGACTCCCCTATACAGAATTTTATTGTTGTTAACAACCATTTGATCAATAAATATGAGAGATGCCCTCTCAAAAAAAAAAAATGTACAGGCGATAGATTGAAAGGCTCCAACATTTACCTACTGGCTATTTTCTGAAGAAAGAGAAGGGGAGAAGGTGCAACATTTTGAAAAGATAATTGCTAAGAATTTTCCATAACTATAAAGTGATGTGAGTGATTCTCTAGAAAAAAGTAGTTTGCTGAAACAGATTCAAGAAGAAATAATAAACCCAAATAAAGTGCAAGTATCAAAAAATGGAATTGGCAACCAAGAGTCCTCTCTGGCCCTAAAGTACCCTACCCAGATGGTTTTATTTGAGAACTCCACTGAACCTTTAAAGTACAGATTATCTGTACCTTATATAAACTGTTTCATAGGATAAAAGCTTACTTTATAAGGTTATAATTACCTTACTATTAAAAACAGACAAATATAACACAGAAGAAAATGATAGATATCCTTTATGAATATATATGCAAAATAATAAACATAAATATAAAAATAAATGTTGGCAAATAAAATTCAACAGTATATTAGAAATTACACCATAATCCAAAATATTTGTCCCTGGAGCTCTTATTCTGATTGGACCAGCCCATAGTGTTTAGAAGAAAATATGAAAGAGTATTCTTATAGGAAAATTGCTTTAACAAGATATTAGAAACACAGATCATAATAAAAAATAAGAATTAAGACAACAATGTAATACTATTTTTCCTATCAGATTGACAGTCTAGAGAATGTTTAATATACAGTATTGTTGGTAGAGAGGTGGGAAAACAGCCATGCTTGTATATTAATAAATAGTTATAATTTCTTTGCAAGGAAATTTTTCTCACATCTATCAAAAATGTTTAAGATAAAAATTCTTTAAGATTGAGTATGTAAATAACCATTTTAAAAAACAAACTAACTGTATGTAGACATGGAAGAATTTCACACACACACACACAAACATTTTATAGGTATTTAACATGGTCTCTTTGTATGGCACAGAAATAAATGACTGAGTTAGAGAAACTAAGCAGCACCTTTTAAAAGCCACCCATTAATGCAGATAGTAGATACACTCATGCAAGTTGGCCTTCAGAGCAGGGAAGGGGTGCTGAGTAGAGGCATGAAGTGTTACAAGGGAGGTTTGAACCATGGAAGCCCTCTTGGAAGATGGCAGAGCAGACATGAACAAAAAAGTAATATGAGCAATTACAGTAGAAGGAACAGGTACGTTCCAAAGCTGGGGACTGAGAATTGCATGTCATGTGGAGGGACAGAAAGGCAGTCTGCTGTGGAAGCAGAGGGAAGGGGGCTGCCCCACAGCAGTGCCCCTGCAGGGGGTTGGGGGGGAGGTCTTCACCAAGCCAGAGAAACTCAGTGCTGCATGAGGTTCAGATCTGCTACATCAAGCAAGTAGGAGGGTGAGCGGGATAGAATGCGAATGGCATCTGAGGGAAGCTCTAAAGGTCATCCAGTCCTCTGTGGTTAGCAGGGACCAGTTACCTTAGGCCTGCCAGGAGGGATAACAAACCTGGACCTGAGTGGGTCAGCAAGATTGGAAAGGACGTCTCACAATCTCAATGACAAAATCGTTGTTAGTTTGTAAAATTTAAATCATAAATTAAGAATCTTGGAACAGTGGATATTTACAGGGTGAAAATGAGTCATAGTTTGGAATTAATCAGACTTTATTCTCTTACAACCACCCTGGTTTGTGCAAGGGGACAAGGACTAATACAGGTTTTAGAAAAAATGAGTAAAACAGCTAGGGGAAGTTCAAATTTTGTGCCTTGAGAAAGTGCCCTGGTTACCATCATTATGAATGTAGGGTTTTTTTTTCTCCCTCTTTTAAACTCATCTCAGGAGAGGGCTTTTAGGGGGACCTTCCAAAGGTTAGCACTGCGTAAGTAGATGGCTTGAGGAATAGAATCATTGATGGAAAAAGTTCTACCCAAGGCCTGAGCCCCCGACTTACCTGCATTTACAACGCTGAGCCACAGCAGGAGCCCCAGTGACCAGGAGCCTCTCTCCCCAAGGCCTGGGGGCATCACTGAGCGGCAAGTCTCAGAATGGGGACGAAGCAGACCCCTAATGTCAAAGAGATC